ACTGGGGGGTTTGGCCCTGCCCCTGTCTCCCTGGCCAACCTGTGCCAGTGTCTAACCAGTTGTAGGGGTCATCTCTCTGAAGTTTTGTGTCTATACGGTTGGGAGAGGGGGAATACTTCTGTACCTTTTTCCCCCACTGCAGATTGATGCACTTGATAGTACTGCAGTTGAGATCATATGGTAACTTGAGATCTCCATTTCACACAGTATCATTAGAATAAAGAATTTAGCCCAGGTCATCTGTTGTGCAGAGTCTGCATGTTCATCCCTTTTGGGAAGCTTTGCCTTACAACATAAAACATTTTAGTCCTGATTCTGCCAACTTCAGTGAGGTGTGTCTGATGAAAATGCTCTTCAAGTCAATAGATTTTACTTGTTCTCTTTTCTGACACTGTGGCGGATTTTCTTAGCGTGACTTTTACTGTTTAATAGTGAAACAGGTTGCTTGTCAGAAGGTAAACTTTGTTTTTTTCATTATGCTTCCAGTGAATGTATTTGATGCTTTATTAAAATGCTAGTAGTGGTCAAGGTTTTTGCTTACCTGTTCCTACAATGAGAATGGTGAAGCACTGGAACATTGCCCAGTGAGGTGGTGGATGCCCTTTCCCTGGAAACAGTCAGGCTGGTTGAGGCTCCAAACAACCTGATCTAGTTGAAGATGCCCCTGCTCATTGCAAGGGGATTGGACCAGATGACCTTTAAAGGTCCCTTCCAACCCAAATCATTCTACAATTCAAGGGTTCAAATGCTCTATCTGAAGAGTGTTAGATCTTTAAACTCCAGGGATTCAGGAATACCTTTAAAAGCTATCAATTCACAATATTTTGTGAACTCAACTTCCTTTCTTTCTGTTTATATACCATAAGCATGTATATTTTTTAATAAAACCCATCTATACTTGTTTTTCTAGCAATGTGTACTTTCCTGTATGCTATTAACCTGAACTTTTTTGTCATATTTACGAAAACCTTTTCATATTTACATTTTTCACTGAAATAAAGAGCAGAACTGGAAGGGAAACTGAATGAGTCTTTCTGTCCAGTTTGTTGATGGGAAGAAAACCATTCTGAGCAGTTAAAAGGTCAGGACAACACAAGATACCAGCAAAAGCAGAAAAATAGCATTTGAGTTTCCACGCTGTTTGGGGTTTTTTTCTTTGGCTGTAGAATTCCATTATGTTTCTCAGTATTGTAGTTTAGAACATTGTTTTTATTTTTCTTCTTTCAGACTGCTGTGAGTTTCGGAGATCAGCCATGGGCATTAAGGGTTTGCAGGGATTCGTGACGAGAGTTTGCCCCGATGCATGCAAAACAGTAGATCTGAGAGAAATGGCAGAAAAACATCGGATCGAGCATCCTGATTTCCCACCTGTTATTGTCGTAGATGCCATGAGTTGTGTTAGATACTGGTACACCCCAGAATCCTGGGTGTGTGGTGGCCAGTGGCGGGAGTACCTGGCCGTCTTACAGGATTTTATTAATGTTTTCACGGCTGCTGGTATCAAGTTGGTGTTTCACTTTGATGGAGTGGTAGAAGAGAAAAAGAGAGATGAGTGGATCAAACGGAGGTTGAATAATACCAAGGAAATAGCCAGACTATTTCAGTTTGTCAAGACTCACAGGAAACAACCCGGGAGAGAAATGTTTGTTGTTCCTTCAGCTTTGCCTACTTTTACACGTTTTGCCCTGAAGGCACTTGGTCAGAAAACAGTATGCACATTGCAGGAGGCAGACTTTGAGGTGGCTGCATATGGTTTGCAACATAATTGCATAGGAATTCTGGGGCAAGATAGTGACTACCTCATCTATGATACATGTCCCTACTTTTCCATCGAGAACCTCCGTTTGGACAGCCTGGTCACTGTTATGTACTCTCGAGAAGATCTTTGCCGTGCGTTGGGTCTCAGTTTGACACACCTCCCTCTCTTTGCTTGCTTGCTTGGCAATGATATTGTTCCAGAAAGCTTGTTGGAAGGCTTTTGGCGCAAATGTTTAGTCACCAGTCCCCACAGGAATAACAGCTACAGCAGAAGAGCAAACATACTTCTGGCTGTAGCAAATTACATCTCAAAAATCCCATGCTCGGACAGCAGCCTGAAGCACTTCGAAGAGATGCTACCTCTGGGATCAGACAAAACATTACTTTATAGAGGACTGAAGTCCTATCTTTTGCCTGGGCAGCAGTCTCCATGGATTCCTCCCAATGTAATGAATTGTCAAATGTTACCCCTTCAGCAGCAATCAGCCATCTGTCAAGATAAAGAAATCTTTCAGGTAACTTGTTTTTTAAAGCTTAATGATCACTTTATCGCCATGGCTTCTTAGCAGAAGTTGGTAATGAGTGCACCAAACCCATTGATTTAAATTTGCTTGTGCAAAATCTTTTGTCTGTTAAGTAGAGCCATGATTAGACCTGTTACATACATCACTATGAGGGTAGATGCAGAGCTTTTGATAAAGAGTGTTTCCTCTCTTCTTAAAGCATTAAGCATGTCAAATAATGGGGAGCAGCTCCTGTATAGGCCAGTAGTTGGGTGGAGAGATGTACTTCCCATGTGTCGTATGACATATTGACTTGCTTTTTACTTTGAGAACCCACAGGTCAGCTCTAAGCTGGTCAGTGCTGTGCTTGGCAATGCCTGGCACATGCAGTGAAGGTGCCAAAGGAAGCTGTGCTGAGCGTGCAAACGTCAAAATTGCTGTTGTGGAGACCAAGAAACTTCCTACAGAATCATATTGTAGAATTATAAAATGGTTGGGTTGGAAGGGACCTTAAAGATCACATAGTTCTAAACCCCCCCCCTGGGTAGCACCCCTTCCACTAGACCAGGTTGCTCACCCTGGGTAGCACACCTTCCACTAGACCAGGTTGCTCAAAGCCCCATCCAGCCTGGGCTTGAATGCTTCCAGGGATGATCTACCACTTCTCTGGGCAACCTATTCCAGTGCCTCACCAGCCTCACAGTAAAGATTTTATTCCTAATATTGAATCTAAACTTACTCTCTTTCAGTTTAAAGCCATTCCCCCTCATCCTATCACTACGTGCTCTTGTAAAAAGTCCCTCTCCGAGTCTTATAACTACCACCTTAGTCTACCCAGAGCTTTCTCTTTTCCAGGCTGAGCAACCCCAACTCTCAGACTGTCTTCATAGGGGAGGTGCTCTAGCCCTCTGATCATCTTTGTGGATGGACCTGCTCCAACAGGTCCACATCCTTCTTATGTTGGGGGTCCCAGAGCTGGACGCAGTACTCCAAGTGGGGTCCCACAAGAG